ACTGCTTAACAGTTTATCACTTATGTCTTTTGATTTCCACCTGACTGAGAGGAGGAAATGATAAAGCGTTTCCTTCCTCCTGGTATTATGAAGAACCTGTCAAGATCTTCTAAATTAATTACGATTATTGGGGAATTAGAAAGCACAACAGAAAACAGGTGCAGAAAACGATCCCTGATACCCATCATACTATGTAGTAATCTCAGTAACAATCATTCTTCGCCCCCAAGAATGCCCTTGTTCATATGTCTGATTCCATCAACAGCCACCAATTCTTTTTTTACTCATTCAAAATTCATCCAGGCTTACATCAACTCATGTCTATTAATAAATGACGCGATGTTAAAAAAAAAAAGATTGCACCGATTTTGACATATACTTCACGGATAGAGGTAGCCCCGGTTCTCGGCGGTCATCATCCGGGTCTCCGTCCTCCAACGGCTACAGTAAAATACTCGGAAACGCGAACATCCTTTAGATCCTTGACAAGATGCGTGTCAGTCAATGCCTCATCCTTCCGTACCTACACAGTGGAATGTTTCTGCTCTAGAGAGTATTGCTTCTGTGCCGAAATCGTGGGGTAAGAAAAGAAAATAATATGTGAGGGATGCTATCGACGTGGGGCCCGCCCCATGAAACGAAGTCAAGAATGCACGAGGCAAGGGTGAAACTATCCGAGAAACAGATATAGTCTATAGTGTGGGTGAACTTGAGACATGTTGCCGATAGACCGTAATAGTTGAGCCGTGGCAAGGGAGCGACAGAAACACTTGGTATTTCATTAGTGTTGCGGAGGGAGGAATTTATTTGGCACGTCCCGTTTCACAGGCATTCTCGCCTTCGGCCCGGGCAAGCTGGAACGTGGATGAAAGATGTTTCGATTGTTGATTGTAGATCACTCGCCTGTTGACACTGTTTGCCAGAACCGAGTACGTGGACTTTCAAGGGTGAAGCAACACGACAGCTCAGCCATCATGTTTAAGCTTTACATAGTAACGTGAGTTGGCTGGTTGCTTGTCAGCTCCTCAAGGGAGCGGAGACTATCATCATGAAATTCATAGTTGCATCCTTTTCGCGGCTGCGCCGACTTGTACTCACAGTACAGACTATTTTTGCACTCTAAATAGTTTACACCCAAAAGTCTCGACAGACACATAAAGTTCACGCTTCGGATCTAAAAAAGGACATGGCTGCTTATAGAGCAGACCCAAATTTAGACTCTGGACGGGTAGCTAGATGAGACTAACCTGATCCGACCTAGCCGGATCTCACATGGAAGTGGCTGGTGACTCTCCACTGTGACGTTACAGAAAGTAACTGTGGCTGCTGGTTTGTGGCGGACTTAGTTATGTGGACCTGGGGAAAGCTCTCTTCGCTTCTGCAAGTTCAAACCATGGCGTCATCCAGTCTGAGCCAATCCATGTTCATAACGGAAATCTTCAACAATGAAATAAGGGTTCACGGGTAGATCATTGTCAATAACAAAGACAATTATTATTATTATGAACGCTGGAGTTGATCACAGGCACAACCTCTCAATCGGTCTGGGTTTAGACTACTACTTCAACAAATACATTCCAACGAGCCGCCTCGACCGAGAATGGACGCTTTCAGTGACTACCTACCTGTTGTACACCCAACATCCATCGATAGCCAGCAAAGATAGTCGTCCTCTGTACTTTAGACAGTAAACTCGTAAAGCCGACCCTTGGCGACTGAGGACCGCGCTCATACAATGATATGAGGCTATCAAGAGCGGAGCAAATTGACCTCATCTCGGACGGAAATGTCATTGTTTTACATACACATCGCTTCCGGCCGTACCAGTACAATTTCGTCAATGTAGCTCAGAATATCTTTCACTGTGTTCATCCTCGCGGGCTAGAATGTCATTTAGCCTTATCAAATCGACATGGTCGAATGCTCAGGTGCAGAATTTGATACTGGAACAAGATTCTCCGTGTCCATCATCATCTAGCATCAGACCAACCTGCGACAGTGGTTCTAGCGTATCAGCGTTGAGTATTTGGACCCTTGGATCGGACCCTTGTTCTCTTGGCGCTTTGCCGACTAACCTGAGACTCAGATGTCAAGGGGTTCTCCGAATCGAGGGGTTCGAGACCTAACGGTTGAAAGCTACAAAGGGCGAAGCGCAAAGGGAATAGAATGACGGCTGTATCTTATAGATTCCCATGTCAAGGGATGGACAAGGGAGCTTTAAGGTTGATAGAGTGAATATCTTCTAATGAGGTCTCAACAAGATGAGCACATTTGTCGTGCGAGTTGAGACTTTACCCGGCAGGGACAAGTTTAATGGGAATACGTCCGAGAACAAGGTGACCACTAATTAATTAGATTGATTTTTGAGTCAAGACTTTTTCTTCTGCCGGAGAAAAAAAAAACGATAGTGGTTCATCGTATCTCGCTCTCGAACCCGACGCAAATGTCGGTCTGGCGATACAAAAAAGGCGATCAAAGTGGGTGTATGGAAGTATTCGGAACTGTATGATATGATTGGTCAGAATGCGTCCTCCTGGTACGATACCATGGCGGACCACCGATGTTAGCGGGACCAGTTGGAGCAAGAGACTCGTCGTGAGCTGGAGAATGGGCGCTTCATGAAGGAACAAGGTTGCCCAATCTTGATCGTGTGTTGTCAAGTTCCTGCATCACAACTAATGCGCGGCACGACAAACAGTGTGCCACTCAAGAAATACCTTTTGGTAGTCTATGCCTCAGATTCCTCAGTGCCTGCGTTAACACTGCACACTACACACTCCATTGTTGCATGTTGTTGCATCGTCTCCGCTTGGTGAGTTGGCAGAATAGGTACGGATACACTCAAAGACATGGCCTCGTCTTGGTATGCAGCATCATGTCTTCTAATGCAGTCTGATGGATACAGCCATGCCGTGAATGGGTTGAGGTCACACTAGACAATGCCTTGAGCAGGCTGGCGCGGTAGAGACCCATTCAGGCGTGATTACTCAAGATCGACCAGATCAAGACCAACATGTCAACTACACTGTCTGCTACTTTGTGTGAGTTGTAAGTGAGTTGTCTCGAGATGTATTCCTCTGTGGGTGTGGAGCTTTCGGATGTGGTTTGACGCCGAGCTGGTGATACGCGAAAACGAGGTCGCAGAGACAAGACCAGCTGAGCAACACCACGGATTTTTAAATCAGTTATCATCACCACCCACCGTTGTGGCCTGGCGACCTAAATGCAACCAGTCTCTAAAATACGGGCGGTAACAAATCTGATACAAAATATTCAAGGGCCCTGGACTGTCATCTCTTGATAGTCCAGGGCCTCTCTTTTCACCCGAGATTTCAGTCTCTTGTGGCAACGGGTTGCAGTCAGAGCCTCGACAGGGAATGCATTCAAGGTTTTTACCAGTGCAGATCATGAATGACTCTGACTCTGACTCTGTCCAAAGAAAGCGGTGTCGAGGATTTTTCGGGATTTTTTTTCGAATCAATCATTCTGTGCCTCGCCTACAGTAGCATCTGCAGCGACCAAAAGATACCCAATCATGCATTTGGGTGCAGATGCACGTTTGCAAGTCCGTCTTTAACTAGAACTGCAAGCCTTGCAGCAGGGATAAAAAGGGCATGAAATCAGAATGCTATGGCTCACTGTAGAAGCTCGACATACAGTGACTCGAGTTCAAGTTAGTCAGTATGATTTATGTGAGTGATTGACCCAAAATGACGAACTAGAAGAGGCTGGTCATTCATGTCCACGTTGTCTGGTGACGACGCCATACTGATAAACCAGTCAGAGGTAAAGACCACAAGTGAACCCACGAGGCTGGTGAAGATCGCATGCATAACACATCAACACAGTGACTGCATACTAGAAACATGAAATGTTTGTACTTGAACGCATTTACGTCAATCTTGAGATCTCTAACATTCGGAGTTTGTCATCCGGTAGATCACATCATACAGCAAACGCAAGAGACTTTAAACATGTTAATCGGGATCTGAAGCTGCCGATGTCTCTGATAACGATTCGCAGCGAACGAACAGGTCTACCAAAAGCCCTGGCGTTTAATGCCTCGATATCACAATCACTGTTCATCCTTTTTGGTGTAGCGTGGGGGATTTGAAACGGCTCGTGGACGGCACAAGACTCACTCAATACCAGACAGAGGTCAGTGCCAAGGCTCACTCAGGTGGCTCCAGACTCATCTCGAGACTCGTGGTGGAGGTTACAGTGGCTGTAGAGTCTCGTGGTCTTTAAAGGGGTTCAGTCTTACTGAATTAAAGACTATCGATGTTTTGTCAACTCTATAGCCAGGCTGGTGATGAGGTTGGCTACCTAACTCCTAAATTCTATCGCCTCTTTTTCAACGACTTTTCTGGGCGGACCTAATTCTGAGGAGGCCCCATAGAAAATAATCCATCCTTTGATGGAGACCCTGCCACATGCCCTGCCATGCTCTGCGCTCCAATGCCCCAGACCCCTGCCACCATAAGCGCCCCTGCCTCTCCCATGTATACAGTGTGACAAGATGGGCCTTTTCACACGGCTATTCTCGTACCAGAATGTGGCTCAAGTGGATCAGGAAGGGACCTGGGACCTTGGCTTGGGCTGAACCTTGTGCTGCTGCCCATTTGACCTGCAAGAGTCTCTCAGGGGCATGTCTTCATATTAATGGATGCTACTCCCCAACCTCATGGGACTATTCTCCCTCTGTAATATCCATTCAACTCAACTATCGATTTCCAAGGAACCCCTCCAATATACCAATACAAGACAAAGACATTCTTTCTGTTTTCGTCTCTTTTGTCTGGTTTTGTCTTGTTCTGTCTTGGATCCATTGTCTCACTTTCGCTACCGGCCACTCTCAAGACCGTCGTCGAACACCACCTGACTACGAAAGACCTGACGACATTGTTCACGACCTTGCTTCCGCTCCCTTTCCTCTGCACCCCGCCCTCTTTACAAAGGGCCTGTTAAGGGGAATTCAATAATTATAACCTATATCGACAATGTCTCTAGCAGTGACGCAACAACCGCAAAGGGAGCTTGATGCACCAAAACTTGATACTGCTCTCGCCCAGCGGGTACAAACACAGTCACAGCCCCGATCTCAAATACAGTCTTTATCCGTCGAGCCTCCTATTTATTCTCCTTCCGCCGATGCCGACTCGTCTCCCGAAAACACACCTACAACAATGATTCCTTCACAACGACAACTTTCTGCAGCTCCTGCGCTGCCAGCCAAGAGCTCACTCCGAGCTTCAAGATGCCTCGATGGCCTCTTGACACACAAGCTTACCCCCGAGGGCCAAGCTCCTTTCTCTACTCCCCATGATGTCTACCTCTCTTCAGAAGAAGATGCGTCTTCTTCCGCCGATGACTTTTCCGATTTCGAATTCGACTCTGGCAGCGATGAATCCCAGTCAACTCGAAGGGGAAGTCATGAGGACACTGCCAAGGTCGTCTCAGTTGTCTTCTCTGGAAAGCCTTCAGTGATTGATCTCCCTCGACGATCAGTCTCTCCCAGCATCATCAGTGAAGCTTCTTCCCGACCCTCATCAAGAATGTCAATTTCATCTCGACCCCCTAGCCGCCTCCGCAGAACCACCACTCTCCCAGTTACCCTTCCCGTTCTCGACCGACGAATGTCTTTCTGCACTACTTCTTCCGGATCAGCCATGCACCCACCCCGAACAAGCAGTATGGGAACTCGTCTCGAGAAGCAACGACCCGATTTTCTCAGCATTGACCCTTTCGCGAAAGTTGAGCCCGAGGTCAAGGAAGAGGCCACCGAGAGGCCCAAGACACCAAAGTCGCCCGGTGTTTTCAAGCGTACACTAAGCTTGGTCAAGAAGCGAAGTCGACCTTCGCTCAACACCCATTTCGCTAGTCAATCCAAGGATAACCTTTCACTTTTCACACCCACTTTCCCCATGGAGCAGGTTCGAGAAGAACCGGGCACAGACTCCGAGGAGAGGGCCCCCAAACCCATCCTTCAAAAGGCACCAACCTATCACGAGTTCGCCCAAAGGAGGATGTCCTCAGCACCAATGTCTCCCATGTCACCTATGTCTGAACCCGGGTCTCCAATGACACCTAATGGCACACGTAGCCGTTTAAGGCAAGGATTGGCAGCCGCCGCGAGAAGGCGAAGCGTCAAGGTTTGAAGACCTGACCTGTACTTTTACGAATTATGACTGGGCAAAACGGATATGGGTGCTAGACGCCTCTAATATTTCTCCTTTGTTACTATCTTCTGTATCGACCGAAAAAAGGTCCTAGGGCAAAGGAAACAGGCGTTCTATGGACATATTCTGCTGGACAAGAAAAACCGGCGTTGTATTGTATTAACTCACCACTCGAACTGAGAATGGCGTTTTGGGATATATCAAACATGCTTTGCAAGCATCACGACCTTGGACAGGTCTCTTGGATGGAATTTTGTCAGCTAAATTGTTAACGAAGCACCGCAAAAAGACGGTCAGGCATATCATGGATGGAGTTTTAGCTTTGTTCTGATGAATAACAATATCACGATTGCTGCTACACATTTTGACCCTCTGATGTCTTGTGATGTCTTGTGATATGTTCGTACTTTTGAGGCTGAGACTATTGATTGTAGTGAAGTGGCTTCCTTGGTTCGGCGCGGCCGCTACAAGTGCCTGAGTCTGGGGTTAAAGTCAACAGCCACCGACAGCATCGTCTTGTCGACAGACCGGGAATGGCTGGCTACTCTTGATAGGGCATTATAAGAATGATTCTAGAACTGTTTTGTCCGCCTTGGGAATTCAAAAGTGTTGTGCTGGTTGGTTGGTGCTGCCTCGCTCTGATACTGATTCCGGAAATGGAGTACGATATGCAATGCATCAATGACTCTATCGTCTATATCTCGTCACGAACTGTTGATCATGTCCCCTGTTACTTTTTGCTTCTGTTGTTGCGGTGATGAGGAACATCAGATCAAAGACAGGGTGTAAGTGAGAGATACTGTGGGGTACTTGAAGAATCGCCCACAAATGGCGGTGGGTGAAGTACATAGAAGTACTTTCCGCATTCGGTAGGTGGGAAATGAATCGACTCGGTGAGGCACGTCAAGGCAATTTAATATGCCGTAGCGTTATGATTTACTGTTAATCTCGGGATGTCACCAGAGATGAAATTAAATTCTAGAAGATGAAGAGAAGGCATGACTGATGATGTAGTTATCGTCCGTCTATCTCGAAATACTTCATGCCTTTCTCAGGATTGAACAGTGAATGTCTTGGTGAATGTAGTTAGGCAGAGTAGGTAGGTACCTGCAGATCTCCCCTGAGCGGTCAACCCCTGTTAGCTCATCCTCATCGCTGCAATCATCTTTGATTGAGATCTACCCCTTGAATCCAATCCCATCCCCAGCAGTAAAAAGTAAGAAGATGGCACGGGAGGATTGAACCATCGAGGTCACTCACACCCAAGCTTACTGTACTGTATGTACATGCGAATCTGCCCTGTCAATCCGACTAGTTCATCGCTAATTATATTTCACCGTTCTTGAGTCAAGGTCTAAGCTCGAGCACAGTCAGCAAATCCTTAGAGCTAGCTACTTAGCCAGTCAGGGGGAGCTCGAATTGCAGTGGGGATGGTGACTTTGAATTACTTGTGGGTATGGAAATGCGAGAATGTCTTTGCTCAATGGGGTTGACGTTGTATTTGCCCGTTTCTCATGCTACTCTATGATGTCTTTGCTTTCTTTTCATGAGACGTTGGCCCACGTGGGAAAAGCAATGAGGCGGGAGACATGCATGGGCGTGGTGTGATTCGTCTCGTATGTTTCTCCATGCCTTTTTGACTGTGTTTCATGAGCCAATTGAATTGCTCAATTGATCGTATTTTCAGGTGGGTTCTTCATGAATTCATCTCAATTCAAGAGCTTCAATTGTTAGTCGCCTCCACTTTGTCTCTCTCTTTGTCACTGTCTCTGTCTCTCTCACGACTCCAAGCTTCTTCCCTTCAACTCTGCGACAGTCACAGTTGTATCAAACAGCGTCAGTGTCTCAGACAAGACTTTCCTCAGCCGTCAAGCGATCGTAGCGGCTTCAACACGAAGAACCTCTTGCGTGCTCCGTGGGGGCCTCTAGCACTAAAAGAGGCGCTCGTTCATTTCCTTTTGATGCTTGGACCACTTGAAGGATGTTGCGCTGTGTCTTGCATGAGAACGCGGTGCTGCTTAGAATGTGGCTGGGTCACCATCAGGGGAAACCGTTACGGCGCTTGACTTTGTTCGAATTGTGGCTCCAGAAGCGCAAACAAACGCCAGAGAAGGGCGGTCAGAGTTGACGATGGAGCTTGGATTTGAACGATGTTACTGAGACTTTAAGAGAGTCGCACTCTGGAATAGAGATTGGCATGAGTGCTCGCAGATCTAGCGCTTTGGCGTCTCGAGTCACTTGACGTATCTGCACTCTAGAGGACCCTGAAACATGTGGTGGACGATCATGCACTACACTGCACTGTGAAATACTGGTGATCCTCGTCTGGGGGAGATTGGACCTTTGCTGAATAGCGATCGGCGATCAAAACTTCTCTGTAGACATCTAGTCTGTACTAAAACTTCGACGGACCGATCTGAGAGCTGGCATCTGCGGTGGCTTTCTGATGACAGTGTGGAGAAGCAGATACTCGAGTATATGAAGACCTACGACGAGTATACTGATGGGCACTAGGATCTGGGGTTCTTCAGCGTCTTATTTTGAGCACCTGTGTCTATCTGGAGATGCTCCACAACACCTGACTCAGTAGTGAAGCTATCTCGAGACCCCATCCTGGTACGTGCTCGAGTCCCAAGATGGTGGACAGCGACACAGTACAGATGAAGAATGAGTACGAGACCATTGTCACTACGATATCCCGACTTGAACGAGGTTTCATGATTCAGATCCGGGTGTAAGGTCTGAGCGGAGTTGGAAGTGAAACAGAAGCTTGGACAGATCGGTGTTGGGGTTTAAAAGCTTAGTGCTAGAAATAGCATTGACGATGCCGAATTGGTGGATTTGTCACTTTGAGTTGGGGTTTCAGGTGCGTTTACCTGATGGAAGCTCTGGCTTTTCTAGAAGAGGCAAGGAACACGAATCAACGGAGCTGAAGAATCTTCAGCGCATCGACAAGTGAAGATTGGACTGATAAGTGTCAACCGTTGACTGAGCCCCCATCGCTTCAGGTATGCCAACCAGCCAGCCAGTGCTAAGGCGCATTCGAGAATGAAACAGGCTGTTACACGTAATGGTCGTTTACTGTGTCTATAAGAAGGGCAGCCAACACATGCTTTAGGGCTTGGTCAAAGCGAGTGACTTCATCCTATGGATCTATGGAATAATAGTAATATACAGTCAACATTGAATTCAGCTACAGTTACTATCATTTTAAGCCACGTGCTTCTCATCAGATAAACATCATGACACCCCAACTACTAAGCACTCAAGGAACAGACCATGACTTCAACACACTCGTAGACACCAGAGCTCAGTACTATCACAATCTGCTTTGCATCTTAGAACGCTATGTGTCTGTGTCACTGCGATACCTGGCCGTCTCTTGCGGCGAGGCTCTTCTTTTTAGTAATAATCTGATGATGGTAAAGGTATCTGGACCAAGTACAGCAGACCGTGATGAAGTCTTCCTTAATGATACTGGAAGTGCATAACTCGATAATCTCACGATACTTTCTTTCTCCAAGTTGGAAGTCTAAAGGAACACTATTCCTATCAAGTTGCAAACAGCACCTGGATTATGTTCTACCGCAACTGAGCTAACAAAGTTTATGCCCTTTACTCGTAAAGGCATGAAATAATAGTGAACTGTGGCTGAAACCAACGTTGAATACGTGTTATGCTATCACCATCTGTAAATGAAGTCGCTCGCTTTGACTAAGCCTCAAAAGCATATCGCGGCTCTGTATTCACCCCAAGATTATTCGTGGCCAGTACCGACTCCCTCTTCGACCTGTACTGAAATTTACGACAGCCACGTTTCAACCAAAACGATCAGCAACCATGCCTTCCAGAACCTCCTATATTGTGCAGTCAATCAAACCAGGTCAACACGTATTGAACCTAAACTTGAGGCAGGTACTGTAGGTATCCTCTTCTTTGCGTAATCAATTTCTCATGATATATAACTCCCAATCACGTATCAAAGCACGGCTTGCTTGTACCCAATAATTATGCTATGCTAGCCTCCGAAAACTTCATCTAAATGGTTTTATATACCGCCAATCTGTCAGATTGCTGGGAAAGTCTCAGCCAGCAATGCAACCATTTCGTATTGATGGGCTGAGGGCATAACTTGAAAAAAGAATTTATTCGTATTGCTTTCTTCAACGCTTAGAAAAAAAATCTCCCATGAAAAGCGAGCCAAATAAGTAGGGCTACCATTGTAATTTTACCAGCCAAGGAGCCAGGGCACCGGTGAGCTGAGACATAAATAAAAGACCACCAAAAATGCCGCCAAGTTAAGCGAGGTATTTAATCCCCATCTAACGCGGATTATTAAACCATCGAGTAAAGTAGGGTTGGTGTTTTTGTATACAGTTAGCTATTATCATTAACTTCTTAATATATTAAGTATACTTACCCCTCCTCGCTTATTGGCAGAGCCCATGGGTCTGCCGTGTATAATGAAGTGAGGATACAATATGAAAGAAATGGCGGGGAAAGCCAGCAGAGCAGAGATAGAAGAGTTGAGAATACTGATCAGAACGGGATTGGAGTCGTTTACTTCGTGATCATTTGCGAAACTGAGATGCTGATGTGCACAGCGGTCTACAGGCCTTCTGCTTCAGCATGTGATTTTGCCATTATCACTGATTGCTGCGTGTGATCTGGTATGTCGAGACTAGGATGAATTCAACATAGTTAAACTTGTTATCTATGAGCTTTTCTGTTCCATGTTAACCTTTGTGATCATCCTGGACAAGCGATACATACCTCATAGAGTATTTTACGAGTAAGATGGGAGCTCCAACATCACTGATGCATGACATATTGGCAATGCGAAGGCTGGCCAGCCAGAGCAGCTCAGAAACATCTCGTTTGCAGCCACGGTGGCTGTGAAGTCCTGCAGGCCCGGACGCGAGGAACAATGGTCTGAAATAGAAATATGACACCTTTGAGAAATGAAGCGATTGGCAATG